TCCGCGGGGGAAAACTGAACACACACTGAGCGGATTTCGCTAAGCAATGAGCGATTTCACCGTGCGATGAAACGTCAAGCGGATGCGCTTGACTGTTTCAGCAAACTCGTGGCTTCAGCGCAAAGCACTGCGGAACTGCAGCAGCTGGTCGGAGCGCTGAAAAGCTGGGCGGCCGCCGTGCCCGCCGCGCAGTTGGAAGTCGAGATGCTGCCAATCTGGTTTCCCGACGACGAGCGGCACGCGGCGCGCGCGGTGACCGATCGGCACGTGGCGTTCGCCGCGGCGCTAGCGGCAGAAATTGCGCCGCAGGTCGCGGCGCGCAGCGACCTCTCGGACGCCGCGCTCGCGACGCTAGCGCGCTTCTACCTGCTAATGCTCGCGCACCACAGCAGTGCGGTGCGCAGCCAGGCCGCGGCGGCACTGGCCGCGGCGCCGAGCGTCGCGGCGTGTGCGCAAAGCCGCCAGCGCGACGCGCTGCTACCGAAGTTGGTGGAGCTGGCGCCCGGCGTGACGCTGCGTTCAGCGGAGGCCGCGCGTTGCTTCAAAGTCTCCGTGTGCGGTCTGTTCAGCAGTTTGTACGCGCAGGTTCAGTGTTCGGAGGTGCGACGGCAAATGTTCTGCTTCGTCTGCGCGCAAACGGCGAGCGGCGACGTCGCGGTGCAAGACGCGTTTCTGAGTTTCTGTCAGCAGAACAAACAGCAGCTGACCCGAGCAGGGTGGGTGAGAGTTTTTCACGCAGTGATCACCGCCTGTTGGCGGATCAACTCGCTCGATGACGTAAACGATGAGAAGCGCAGCGACGAGGGAGCCGCGCGAGCGCCGAGCGCGGCGCCGAACCGGCTGACGACGCTGTGCCGCATCCGCCCTCGCTGTCTGGAGTTGATGCAGGAAGCGGAAAGGGCCTTCGGCGCGCACCCGCTGTCGCAGCTGCTGGACACGTACGTTTCGGTGATCCACACGGTGCCCGACACGCGGCTGAAGCTCGCGTTCTTGGAGAGTTTGCAGCGCTACAGTGCTACGCAGCTGCTGCAGCGGGAGAGCTACCTGCGGTGCATGACGCTGCTGCTGTTCGACGCGAACGCGGACGTGCGCGTCGAGGCCGCGGTCGCTGCGCTGTCGCTGCTGAAGGCGTTCGAGCGGAAGAGCCGGGCGAATGCGCGGCAGCAGGCGGCCGCGCGCGCGGCGCGACCGGCGGAGCCGCGCGCTGCAGAGCCGCTGGGAGCGCTGAAGGACCAGCTGGCGTCGCTGGGTTCCACGTGCGTTTCGCGCTGCGACTCGCAGGCGCCTAGCAGCGATCCGACGAGCGGCGAGCTGCGTGCGACGTCTGCGCCGCGCGCCAGCGGGTTCCGCGACGACTTGGCGCTGCCGCTGACGGAGCTCGACTGCAGTTCGCTGTTCATGGAGGTGCTGGGCGCGGAGGAAGACTGGGCTGCGAGCACCGGCGAGAACGCGGCCGAGGGCGGGCGACGGCTCTGCTGCTGCGCGGCGGGTCGCGAGGCGAACTGCGCGGACGCGGCGGACGCGCTCGCGCTGACGCAAGCGTTGACGCAGCGGCTGGTGCCGAAGGCGTCCTGGCGCGACTACATCTGCCTGAACGACCACTCCTGCGTCTACAAGATTCTGTTCGACACGGCGCAGGCGAGCCGCGGCGCGCCGCGGCTCGGGGCCGACTTTCCGCTGTATTTGCGAAATGCGATCGACGTGCACAACGAGTCGAAGCTGAACTACGCGTCGTTCCTGTTGTTCGCCTCGGCGTTCGAGCATGCGAGTCTCTCGCTGGACTTCGCGAACCGCGAGTTCCAGCTGCAGATCTTCCACTGCGCGAAGCTGTGCGTGGCGGTCGCGAAAGAGCTGCACCGCTGCGAAGACGAGGAGTTGCAGCTCACGCTGTTCTCGATTCTGGTGTCCTCGACGAACTGGCGCGCGCAGACAGTGCTCGCGACGAACCTGCCGAAGTTCAAGCTGCGGCAGGTCGCGAAGGTGTGGCCGGTGTTCCTGGTGCTGACGAACGCGGCGGTGCGCGAGGCGTTCGTGGCCACGTTCCAGCGCCTGATTCTCGCCTACGGCGCACCGTACATGCACCGCCTCATCACGAAGCCACTGCTCGCACAACTCGTGAAGGTGTTCGACGAGGAGTTGCACGCGCTAGAGCCACCGCGGCACGCGGACCCGTTCGCGACCGGCGCGCACTCGCCGCCGACGCTGCCGCGCAGCACGGCGCTCGCGAGCTACGAGTTTGCGCGGCCGCCGAGCGGCGGCTGCGCAGAAAAGCCAGCGCTGCCCAACAAGAACCTAGTCGAGAAATTCAAGACGTTCTTCGCAGCGCTGCAAAGTCGCTGCGAGTTCGGCGGAGAGGGGCTTCTGTTGGACGCGTCGTTCTTCACGGAGCGCGGCTTGATAAACCTGCTGCACACGACGCTCACGCTGATTTCCGTAAGTTCGCGCGCGGCGCTCTCAGGTGTGTCTGCCGATTCTCGCGACCGTCGAGGCCGCGGAGTTCGAGGCGATCGAGAAGCTGCGGAACTGTTCCATCTCGCGCATTAAGAATTACGCAGCTTCTTTAATAACGCAGATATAGTGAAAATCGCAACCCAGGATGACGACGCCGAGCTCGTGCGTGCGGCGCCGGCCGCGCAAGCGCTCGCGCACGAGCGGCTGCTCCAGAAAATCACGGAGAACTTCGAGGCTGCGCTCTGCAACGTGCAGCTCGCGGTCGAGGAGATCGTGTTCGACTCGCCCGCGGTGCACGGCACCGGCTTCGAGCTGGACGCGCCCGCGGACGCCGCGCTGCCGGTGGATGTGCTGGTGCCGGTGTGCGTGGCAGTCGGCGGCAAACTCGCGGAGTGGCGCGGCAAGTCTCCGCGCTGGATCGCGGCCGCGAAGTCCGCCTTGCTGGTGACGCTGCTGAAGCAGTTGCGCTGGCGGCCGCTGCAGCACGCGGCGCTCGCGGCGAACTGGCTGGACTTGTTCGTGCTGCCGAGCCGCCATGAGACGCTGCAGCAGCTGCTCGGCGCGGAGGCGCTGCGCTGCGCGAACTTCTCGGCGACGTTGCGCTGCACGGTCGCGGTGTCCGCGCTACCACCGCGCGAGCTGGCGCCGCTTTACGCGGCACCCGCCGCGGCCGGCGCGCTGCAGCGTGCGCTCGCGGAACTCCGCGCGACCACGTTCGTGGCGCCCAGCCGCCGCGCGTTCCGCGACGCGGCGCTGTCGTTCCCCGCGCTCCGCGAAACGGTGCGGCGCGTGAAGCGCTGGGCGGCCTCGCACGCGCTCTACGTACCCGCGGAAGACCTGTTTTGGGAGGCCGCAACGCTCTGCGCGGCCGCCGGCCGCGCAGCGGCGCAGCTGCGCGACGCGCGCGAGCTCGAGCGCGCCACGCTGCGGCTGCTCGCGCGGCTGCCCGCGCTCGCCTTTCTGCTCGTGCCGCAGCCCAGCTGGCTCGGCGACCCGCACTACAAAGCTTCGAGCGAGTACGAGAAGCTGT